TCTTTGTATTTACTCACCAACTGCTTAAAGAAGTTTCTTGGTGATAGTGAGGCAAGACTGATAAAAGTCTTCTCATGATATCCCATTCCATGGAAAGACATTATGAATGAACAAGGGGAAACTTGGTGTGATAATAATATGAACAATAAAGAAAACCCTCGCTCAACATACCTATCACACCCCAACCCTCAATGCTCAGGGGTCTTCTTGGAGTAGGGGTCAGAAAGAATGTAAGAGATGGAGTTGATGGATGACTTGAAGAAAAGACTGTGTTCCAGACACAGCAGGGCAGTTGCACAGGTGAACTCCCAGCAATTGTGACAGTATGAAAAATATCTGTGCAAACTCAAAGAAGACAAAACCCCAGCATGGAGGGGCAAGGTGGGCACAAAATCCCATTCCCAGCTGAGAAGCTTTTGGCCTTTATTGCTCCTAGGAGAGGAAGGGTCAGTTCTCTTCAGTGATATGACCGCTTGTTGATCAACCTCTAGGACAGATGCCTTCCCCAAGAGTAGCAGTTGGCTCATTCAAACTGGACTTGATGACAAGGAAAAGAAGAGAAAGCTTTAAGTTGGGTGGGTAGGGAGTTCAGAGTGGAGTTGAGGATGACATGTGAATATGATCCAAATGGGTTGGACAAAATACTCAAAGAATGATACACTGTTGTTAACAAGGAAAAAAGTTTATTAGGAGAGCTCTTCTTAATTTCTAGAAAAGAACTCGCTTGTCTTCTAATGTTTCTATCAAAGAAGAGGGCGGGTGCTGGAGAGATGGGTCAGCATTTAAGAGCACGGGATGCTCTTCCAAAGAACATGGGTTCATTTCCCAGATATCACATGTTGGGTCACAACCATTTGGAAGAGAAGTTTTAAAGGACTAAAAATGTTTGAGAGAAGCATGCCAGTGTGGATGGTGCTGTGTCTAGCCCACATTTAAGACATGCATGTGGTGCATGGACACACAGCCAGACAAAATACACATAAAATAAAACCAAGCTGAAGGAGGAGGAGGTCGAAAGAGTGGTCATGTGGGAAGTGAATTTTTGAGTTCAGAATGACTGAGGATGCCATTACATAATCACTAAAACATATATTTATCCCAAGGAAGTCAGAACAGAAAGGGGATTGGCTTCAAATGCAGTCCCCTGTGAAGCACTTCCCCAAGCAGGACCATAACCAGGGAGTGTGGGAGGTTGTAACTGCTGCTCACTGCCTATTGCTAGAACAGTATGAGCCTAACCATCCAGACCCCCGGCCATGAAAGAATCCCTTTCCCAAGGAATGGAAGTCATGTAAGGAATAGCCAAAATGGCTTGGCAGTGACTTGGCTAAGGACCAAGAGACAAAATTGGTTAACAGATTTTCTGTTATAGCTCTCATGTCACAGTACCAAAGTAACTAAAATATGGCCAAAACTAGAAGGGGGTATCTCTCCGAAGATTCTAAGACAAGTAGTCTCAAACATGGTGCCCATCCTTGCTGCACTTGCTTCATCCTTCATTGCTTTACCGATATACTCCTTGACCCCACACTACCCTCTGTCTGCATCAAACAGATAGCTCTTCACTTCCATTCTCCTCAGCTGCTGTTCCTTCTTCTGGCTATTATTCACCATCTTCCAGCTTACTCGGTTTGTTACATCAGCTTGTGTCTCCAGTGAAATATTCACATGCCTCTTCTTGTAACAAACAATTTCAGGAAAAAAAATCTGAGCTATTTCTTTCTGTCTGGGCTCTTTCTGTTTCTACTACTGTCCTCAGGCTCCAGCCCAGGGTCTCTTAGAACAGAGAAACCAATGTGATGCCCTCATCATACCTTCCATATAGTAGCTATGCCCCTTCCTTCTTTAGGGAAGTCAACACACTCGGCTTTTCTTTTGATTAATTTTGATTAATGGGGTGGAGATACAAAATGAATTATGCCCCTGCCCCATGGCCTAAATGGATTTTCTTCTAAGATAAACTAAGTTAGCAAAACCTAGTGTGGCATTTCTAGCTCCAACAACTGTTTGCTGATGCTATCTCCAACATCCCTGTGCTATGCTTTGTCTCTTTCTGCCTGAACCCAGGTTAATATAACTTAGCAGCCAGTGAGCTTACCTCATGAATGCTTATCATATGTTATTTCCTCAGGACTTTGAACCAAATTCCAGTATTGTTGTTTTGGGTTCCTGGCTTATCACAGTATGCAAATTTAATCCACTCTTTTGTCTTCTATAGCAAATGCTTATGAATAAATACACTTTATTCTGGAGAAGTCTTTACCCAGTTTGGAGTCCACCCACCCATGTGGATGCTAAAATCAGTTATTGCCTGCCTTTCTCCTGTTTCCTAGGCCCAGCTTAATTCTGAACTATGCTACCAAAGGACATTAGCTCAACTTTTGGTTTTGCCATGCACCACCAAGGTTATTACATTTTCAGATTTCTTTTTCTGACATTAATTTCCATTCCTTAGAATTTGATACCACACCACTGGATTGAAAGTACTCATCCTGAGTATTCCCAGTCGGGATGGAGAAGACTCTGACAGCCCTAACTTGCCAGGTTCCTGAAAATGACAGTATTGCACAATCTGGGAAAAGTAGATCTGTTTGAAAAGAAATCTTTAATTTCTGAAAGCTAAATGATGGCCAAGTGGATTATGCAAGATCAAACAGGGGGTTGCTCCTCTAATTGAGTGACAGTATATATACATCTGTCACTCAGCCCCAGCCATATCTCCTCAACAAGTCACAGAAGCCACTCACCTGGGGTCTCAGCAGGAACTGACATGCCAAGGTGAGTTCTCAGAACTTTCCCACATTTGCTCTTTGTAGATTCTGTTCCCCACCAGCATTCATTTTTGAGTTTCATGCTCTGTCTCTTTCCTGAATCTACTAGATGGATTGGAATTCGCTGGAGGCAGTACTTTTAGCATGAAGATTTGTTGTATGCTTCTGTGTGACTTCAGAGAAGGATAAATTCACTCTTCTAAAGATAGACTTCAGAGATATATAATGGTTATAAAGCCCCTACACACCTCTCTGCAAACTTTCTATAAAGTTGTGTTTCTGCTGGCAAGATTGGAATGAAATGTGCTTTATACTAATGGCCCAGTTACAAAGTCTTAGACAGTGGGATTCTAGTGAAACACGTGGAAATGGGGATCTAGATAATTCCCTGGAATCCAATGTATCACCTGTCACTAAATACATTTGTTACTGGCTTGCAAAGACATCTCAACATTGAAAAAGCATCCTGCACCCCAAGAAAAGGCATATTCATCCTTGTGTTTTCCTGGCCTTACAACAGGATGAAGCTATCTATTGCCATCATATTTTGTTTCTTGGTCCTGGGAGTTGACAGCCAAGGATGGTTCCAGTTCATGAAAGAAGCTGGTCAAGGTAAGGAAAAAGGATGGGAGCAGGAGGTTGTATCTGTGAGTTCCACGTCCTTACTGGAGCAGGGACCACGAACTTAAGGGCACACATGCTTGTGAAGTCTCCATGGACAGAGAAGCAGTGTCACACTTCCTATGTAGTTCTGAACTTTTCTGGTCAGTGTTGAACTTTTTCTATGAGGATCCCAAGCCTGTGCTCAGGTAGTATTTGTACAACAGCTTTCCCACAGGAATGTAGGAATATTCTGTACTTGAAAGATGCTGATTCACCACGTGAAGAGGGGGATTTGCTGCCCCTTTGTGGAAGATAATGAACAGCTCACTTCTACTTCTGGTGGCTGTGAAATGAAGTGTATCTCAAGTGTAGAATGTCCCACGCCAGGCAGAGGAGAACCCATGCAATCCCCCATCCACAGTGACAGGAGCCAAGGCCAATAGAGCAGTGAAAAGACATTGTCCAAAGAGCATTATGTGTGGAAAAATATTAATTTTTAAATTAATCTTGTGGTATTGGTGCCACATCTACTCTTTCAGTAAACTGAGGCACAAATCACACATAGGCCATCAAATAAAACCCCTGGAAGACCAGAGGTTAGCCCAGGTTATCCAGCTCCTCAGAATCCACTACACAGCTCCCAGAAGAGAGAGAGGACTTGATGGGCACATGCTCACTGTTTACCTGAGAAGCAGCAAGTCATGGGTTAGGGAGGGCAGCTCCTGTGAAGGAAGCTCCAGATCATCCACCACCCACAGAAGGGAATGACTGACTTACCTGGAATACAGGCTGCTGGAACAGAGACATGGAGTAGGATCTGTCACCAAGGGAAATACATCCCACCAGGCACAGCAGGATAAAAATTAAGTGAACCTAGGTAGTGGGTTTTGCCTCCCCCCTAACTTGTTACTTTTGAAGATAGTTCCCATTTATTGTTATCTGGGCATGATTATTTCGCTGCATAGCACACTGCTACTTCATTAGTTTAGAATTTAGCTGTCTGTGGCCCCGTCCTGAGGAGCAGAGAAGTGAGATGACGATACATTGAGTATCCTCCATGACGATCCCACATGCATTTTCTCGGTTTTCTGTATAATCTCCAAGGTGGCTAATACTCTTCCTTGCTCTGGGGAGGATGTAGAATTTGTAAACCCAGTGTGTCCTTTGCCACCTAGAGTCTCTGATCATCCAGCTGTCTCAGTTGGTATCTGAGAACTCACTGTTGTCTTCTCCTGAGGGAGTTCTGAGAACTTCTCAGGTTGAAACAGGCCCTGGACACTCCATGGACTCTGAAAATAACTGCACTCAGTTTGCCTGGATAGCAGTTTATCCCAATGCCTGTTCTATATGAAATCTTTGACTGCAGTGGAGGTTTTTTATACAAAAGGAAAAGCCATTTTATTGGCTACTAGCAGAACTCCATGCCATGTTTAAGAGACATTTCTTAACCAAAGTGAGCAGGAAATGCTGTAAATATTGAAGGATGCAAAATTACACAGACAATAGAAGAAGGAAATGAAGTTTGTAATGTCATACCAGAAAAAGTATATTTCATAGGCTTAACTTGAAATGAGATGAAAAACTGAAGAAGACTCTGAACAGGAAAGAAAAAAAAACTCACAGCAAACTAAATGTACGTGCAGAGTAGCGTACTGCCCACTTTCAGAGGCAGCAACTACATGCATTAGACTAGAGTGCACCATGGTAAAGCAATGGCAGATCACAGTGCAAATATATAGGCAATGACAGAGAAGGCAAGTAAATAAGTCAGAGCTTATGTGCATATGTGTTCCTTCATGCAGACTTATATTTCATGCAGTGAAGATTGTAGCACTTGGATATAGAGAGAGTTTTCTGTTCTGCCTGATCCAGCAGCTGTTTAGTCCCAATTAAACACACAGAGGCTTATATTAGTTATAAACTGTATGGCTTACAGCTCAAGCTTCTTATTGGCTAGCTCTCTCTTAATTATTAACCCATTTCTTTTAATCTAAGTATTTCCACGTGGTCTTATCTTACCAGAAAATGTTTGGGCCACATGCTTCCTCAACAGCTACATGGCATTTAATAATGACTCCTCTCTGGGTCCTCTCACCAGAATTCTCGTCTTGTAGCCCCACCTACTTCCTGCCTGGTCAGTGGACAATTAGTGCTTTATTCATCAACCAATAAGAGAAAACATATATACAGAAGGACGTTACCCATCACTTGGGATGCTAAGGCAGAAGGATGATGAGTTTCAGGCTGGTGAGCGTTACATAGAGATGTACTATGTCTCTAAAGGAAGGGATAGAAAAAGAAGGAAGGGGAGAGGAGGAAGGGAAGAGGCCTCATGTTCCTATACCTTAAGAAGTTTCCCTTTACCATTTTAGAGAGAGTTTAATTATCATATGATGAAACATCCCCTAGAGATCTTCTCTCCTCAGTACACTTTTTGTGCAGCCAAGACCAACAGCAACAGAGATAAGATAAGAATTTATCAGAATAAAACTTGCTCTAATACACTTTTCTTGCACATCCATGGGGAAGTAAGAACTATTGAATTCAAGGCAATAACATTTCTGTGGGCTTGTGAAAGGCTGAGTTGAAAGGAAGATTTAACGCTCAGTTTTGGCTAAACACAATCTTATTCACAATTCTCTTCCCTCTCCAGGGACTAGAGACATGTGGAGAGCTTACTCTGACATGAGAGAGGCCAACTGGAAAAACTCAGATAAATACTTCCATGCACGCGGGAACTATGATGCTGCCCAAAGGGGACCAGGAGGAGCCTGGGCTGCTAAAGTGATCAGGTAACAGAGGTTTCAGTGAGCAGAGCTTGAGTGCTTTGGACAGTCAGGAGGGGGATGTCTTCTACATCCTGTGCCTTCCTCTTTTCTGTGCATTGTACTGAGAGAGGATGGCAGTGATACATGATCCCATCCTCTCTCATGAGGGTGACATCCTGCACAGAGCAGGTGCTCACTCAGGCAGCACTTCTCTGTCCCTGACTTTCCTGGGCTCCTCTTAAGCCTTCTCTTGAGAGACAGGAGTCCAGAGCATGGGGTTACTTCCTTCAGCATAATTATGGCTCTTCTTCTTCTCTGTCTTAAATACAGTGATGCCAGAGAGGGTATTCAGAGATTCACAGGACGTGGAGCAGCGGACTCAAGAGCTGACCAGTTTGCCAACGAATGGGGCCGGAGTGGAAAAGACCCCAACCACTTCCGACCTGCTGGCCTGCCTAGTAAATACTGAGTGTTGTCTTCATGCTGTTCCCAGTCATGGGTACAGAAGCACTTACTCGATTGAGTTAGTTCCTAAACTCCGGATCTGTAACCACCCCAAAATGTTAAATAAATACTTGTGAAATGCCACATGTCTCTGTCATTTTGAAAGAGCACAGGGCATTTGAATTGGTTTGTAACTGCACATGTCTATACATATGCCAAAACATGTATTATGAATTACATCAAAAACAGGCAGATAGCATGAAAGCCCTGTATATGATTTCAGTTATAAAGTTGAAAGCTAGATAAAATACAACACATTCTTTGCTGAGAATGTAGCCTAATAACAGAGTGATTGCCTAGCATGCATTAAATCCTAACTTCCATCCCCATGCCCTCCCCATTAAACATCAGTAAATTCTTATTTAGCAAAATATAACTAAAAAGACCGAAGTCGAAATCAATACCATCCTGTAACTGTCGCAATAGATTTACATTTTCCTCAAAGAAGACCTCAGATCGAGATGTTTCTATAGATAATTTTACCCCTTCAAAAAGACAAATCCATCCTATTTTGTAAACATAGTTCAGGAGAGATGACAAAATATTTTATGACCATTTTATCTGGGACCAGAAATCTCGGGTACCTCCCTTCCCACAACCTGAAAGAAATTATGAAAAAGAAAAGTGCACTGATCTATGGAGGATTGACTCCAGCAGTGACCAGCTCCTGGCTTAAGGTATAACCTGGATGTAGGAGTGAACCCCACAAAGCTATCCACCCATGATGGTGGAGACATGTAAACTGACACAGGTAGATATAAAAGTAAGTGAAAGAAGAAGGAACCTCCCTTTTCTCCTGGAAGCCAGCCATGCTTCTAACTCCTGGTCTGTGCGACTATCTCTCTCTCTCTCTCTCTCTCTCTCTCTCTCTCTCTCTCTCTCACTCTCTCTCTCTCTCTCTCTCTCTCTCTCTCTCTCTCTCTCTCTCTGGTGAATAAATATATTGTTATCCATATAGCATCGAATATCATTTATACCTGGGGCTGCTGCTTTTACACAATCCCTGAAGATCCTTAAATCTTGGAAATTGGGTTCTATTATGCCGTGTAGTTTCTTTTCCAAACCACACCCTTTCCTGGGTCATGTTCATGAAGATGGCCTCTTTCTATCTGGGCAGCTATATCCTCTATCATTAGCTACCTTCTCAAATTCTGCTCTCATACTGGTCACTTCCTTGGCTCAGTGGTCTAGCCCCATGAGTTCTTAGTTCTTGCATCTCTCACCTTCGCCTTCCTTGAAGCATTTTGTTGTAAACAGCACTCTCCCCGTCATCCTGGTGCCAGAGCCCCTTTGGCCTCAAATGAACATGCAGGACACTATATTAATTATGAAGCTGTTGGCCATTTGCTATTGTTTCTTATTGGCTAGCTCTGACTTAATTATTAACCCATAACTGCTAATCTGAGTATTTGCATGTGGTCTTCTGTTACCACAGAAAGGGTCCACAACTCTAACTCCTCTTGCATTCTTCATGATAACTGGCTGTGCCTCCGTTTCCCAGAGGTGGCTTGGTCCACCTCTGGAAACCTGGCCATTGTCTTATGAGCTGCCAGGACAAGCCATCTGCATGTTTTCTGTGATGCCCTCTGCTTCTCTCTCTCTCTCTCTCTCTCTCTCTCTCTCTCTCTCTCTCTCTCTCTCTCTGTCTCTCTCTCATTATCTCTCTCTCTTTATAGCAGGGTTTTGGTATGTAGCCCAGGATAGATTTCAAGTATTAATCTTCTGTTATAACTTATCAATTGCAGGGATTATCGATGAGTGTCAAAATTCCATGCTCCATTTTTTTTTAAGAAAGTGGCATCATAAATTACCCAGACAGACTTTAACATATGGGGTTAGGGCATCATCACCTCTCAGATGTCTCTCTCTCTCTCTCTCTCTCTCTCTCTCTCTGTCTCTCTCTCTCTCTCTCTCTCTCTCTCTCTCTGTCTAACACACACACACACACACACACACAGGCACTGAACTCATACAATTTGTACTGGTAAGTGTTCCTGTGGGCCTGACTCATGATCGCATCCTCACTACACACTCTTACCATTATGCAGTGCTGACTTTTAAGGCGTCCCCTGAACTCGCTGGTTCTTTGCTGTGTCACATCGTCTTCCATGTCTCCTGTTTCAGAGATGCATTCCTCTCTCCACCCCTCCCTGCTCCAAGTTTGATATCATGTAGGCTGCAAGCATGTGCCCTGCTCCCTGTGTCATTCTTTAGCTTTTGCTTGGTGTCACCTCCACATTAGAACCTCTCTCAGAACTGTGAAATAACCTGCAGTCCTGGAGTTCCTTGTTCTCTTCCACCACATACCTAACAACGTTTATAACAAGTGATGTATTTGGCTATTTAAGGCCTTTGCAAATCCGATTGCTGCAGGAGTGTAGAGGCTGTGTCTCTTTAGTTCTCTGTTGCATATTCAGGAAATCTGAGGATGACAGACACTGATGAGGCTTCAGGGAAAGGGGACACTTGTTTAGTTAGGGTGTAAACTGCTGCAGCCACTATGGGAAGTGGTATAGAAGTTCCTCAACAAGCTAGAAACACACACAAGCTTATGGTCAGCTATAGATTTCACTGGAATGAACCCAAAGGACTCTTTATTCTACTATAGGGACATCTGTTCATCCCTGTTCTTTGTTGCTCTATTCAGGGGAGCCAGGGTGCACAGTCAGTCTAAGATGTCCCTTAACTGATGAACGGTTAATAAATATTGTACTACATGTGCACAAGGGGATATTATTTACTGCTAAAAAGGAAATTATGAAATTTGCAGGTAAATAGTTAGAACTAGAAACAGAAAGAGAAAGAAAATCATTCCATGTTCTCTCTCCCATGTATATTAGCTTTGAATCTTAAATATGTATGTTTCATTGGGAATAGATAGTTGGGCAACTAGTAAGAGACTATCGGGGATGAGAAACTCTTTGAAAAGAGGAGATATAGGATGTAATGACAGGGAAAAGGAGAATAATGAAACAGGAAACAATGGGGTAGGGGATGAAATGGCAGGGAACATGGAAACCTCTTGTAGAAGCATCCTAAAATATATATGTGTAGAGAGTTTAAATGGAATCTGTTATAGGGTGCTATAACAGAGGTAGCAATACCCCAATTAGACACTTCATGTTACCAATTAAAAGTCAAGTACCAGGAAAGATCCTTGAGCTGTTTATTGACCACTGCAATCCCATACACTCCCAAGCACTATAGACTATTGCCCTCATTCTTAATTACTCTCCAGAATTGAGTATGAGACTCTTGAGCACAAAATACGGAGAAAATAAGATAGTGGTGACCTTGTAGCTTCACGACAACTGGCTAGGTTTCAGAGTGCTACAGAGTCAAAGGCCCTAGGGAAGAAACTTCTACTCTTATTCTTACTCTTATTCTGCTAAATGGACATAGTATTAAACCATCTCCTTAGTTATTATTGCCTTTGCTGACTCATATACTTTAAATAAAACTTAACCATTTTAAGTTGACTTTCAGTTAAATATCAGTTTTTAAACAAAAGTTTACAAGATTGTTGTGAACCACTGTATTTACCTAACAAAATACTTTCAGAGCATAACGTGAACAAAAGAATAACTACTGTTAAGTTAGTACATTTTCCAGCTTACAAACATCTGTCACTTTGACATAGAAAACATTTATTTGCCCTTCACTAAGAAAATGAATATTTTTCCTTTCCCATTACTTGATGCTTTACAATATTCTGAAATATGCATATCTAGGTTTTCTACTTGTTTTCATTGTAATTTCATTAAAAATCACTTAATTATAAAGGGAGCTAGCTAGAGTAATGCAGCCACTCAAGCACCCAGATCTGCAGTCCATAGATTTCAATGAAATTCTAATTTGTTACAATAGCCATTCTGAATCTGTGGAGCATTGCTTTACGATTTTATATGCATGCTATCAATTACATTTTATACACTAATGCACTGTGTGTGTGTGTGTGTGTGTGTGTGTGTGTGTGTGCTTGTGTATATATAGGGGTTGGGGATGCAAGACAGAGTTAAGGCTAGAAAAACAGCTTAATATCCAGCCATGGCTCATGTGATCTTTCCCAGAATTCTCCATCCTTCTCCTATCATCTTTTAGTATTCACCTTTATAACTGTTAAATATATATTCATCCTTATGTTTCCACTCTGAGCCATGTTAGGTACAGGGTTATGACAGAATGACTATGATTTTTACTATCAGTGCTGAGTAGTCCTGTTTCTTAACCTGTGAATGACTTGATGAGAAATGATTCCTAGGGAGTGGGTAAAACCAACCACAACTTTCAAAACCACAAATAATCTAGCACTAGTACAAAGGGCTGGCAAGCTCCGAGTGAGCATCAGAGAAGCCTGAGTACCTTAATATTCGTAATATTCGTCACAGACATACCAGGACAAAATGGTGCCTGTTTGTATGTTTGGGTTGTGGTAGAAAAGTGCATACATCTGTCATTTAAACAAACTCTGATATCCTGGAAGAATCATGAACATTCAATACCGGTAGTATTTAATTGTGTGTGTGTGTGTGTGTGTGTGTTTCAGTGTGCATGTGTGACTGCATGTACACTAATCATACACATGTATACATGTGTATATCTACAGTCACAAGCATACTCCTTGGGCCTGGTTTAGTTTTTGAGGTAGTAGGGCTGGAAGAGAGTTGTCAGGGGAGAATGCAGGCCAACTCCATTTAAAGCTATCCAGGTAAAAAAAAATCACCATTATGACAATTCCCTTCCATTCAGGAAGCATTAACACCTCAGCCACCGGAAACATAAGGACTCTGAAAAAATCCCAATTGCACCCTGCCTGAGGCCTCCCCTCTCTCCTCAGGACAGTGCAAGCACATGCATATTGACACCACCCTGCATCTGCAAGCCACAGCCAGGAGTCTGTGGCTAGAAAAGTTCCCACTGCTCTCTGAGGGCCTGTCCCACAAGGCTCCTGGCTGCACAGGGAATCAGGGGGACAGGCTGCCTTGCTCACCTTGGAGATGTTTTCCTGGTCATTAAGGACTGCAGATTGCAGCCCTTGTTCTGAATGAAGTCCTCACTGGGCCCATAGGACACCAAGCTCCAGT